ACTGACACCCTTCTGGACATGGCATAATTAGTTGATCCCAGATTTAAAACAATGTACATTACCACAGAGAAGTTGGAGGAAATTAAGAACAGAGCCATAAAGGAGATGGAGGCAGATGTCATGCTGTCTGATCAAGGTGCTCCAGGTTTGCTTGCTTCAAAGCCCAGTGAAATGGAAGTGGTATCATAGCCAGATGCACCAAAAAAGAAAACACTTGGAAGTTTCTTTAAAAAGGCCAAAACATCCTCTTCCAAAACTGCGTCATCACTTAGACAATTAATGGACTCAGAACTTTCTGCCTACTTGCAGTCTGTGAATGCCGACAGTGAATCTGATCCACTGCTGTGGTGGAAAGGCCATGAAGAAATATTCCCAAATGTGAAACAGCTGGCAAAAAAGTATCTGTGTGTACCTGCTACTAGCTCCCCATCAGAAAGGGTATTTAGTACTAGTGGAAATGTGGTGACATGTCACCAGGCCTCCCTCAAACCTTAAGCTGTTGACAGGCTTGTGTTTTTGGCACAGAATCTCAAAAAAACAATGAACCTTTTGCATTGATGAGACCTATTCAAGGGTATTAATGTCACCATTTGGACATAAGCGTCTTTTATTTCAACTTGGCATCATTTCATTTTTTACCACTTTGTGTGGTGTGTGTTTAAAATCTAGCACACAAAGAGTAATTATTATTTAAATTATTTTGAGATGCTCTAACACCTGTGATAAAACTGTTCTTGTACAGGGATTGTGCAGATATTGCCTGAACTTGGCACCGTTTACCAGTTTAGCACTTTTTGTGTTTTGTTGTTCAAAATTTTCAGCATATGTAAATTGTTTAGAGAAGCTCTGATACCTGTGGCTGTTCTGGGTGAGTTGATTATATAGTCACTATTTAAACTTTTATTTTTGTAATCTGGACTCATCAGGTTTTTTGATTTTACAATTTTTATGCAAAAAGCACTAACAAGCACCTTTTTTTTCAGGCAGCTGGTTTATTTTTCATTGTGGATTTGTGCTTGGTGTACTGTTTTTGCTTGTTTATCTTGTTTATTAAAGGTATAGTGTTGACCACAGTAAGAGACAGTGGTACTAATTTCATTACTGAAGAAGATGATTTGTGTGCAGCTGATGGTTACAATAAAACATTTTAAACTTATTCTGATTTTGTATTCAATTTAAAAAAAACATCAATGGTCTGTTTGAATAGAGTACACCAGTGCAATTTTAAATACTAGTTTAAAGTAACACTGAAGATTATTTATTAATATTGTGATATATATATATATCGTGATGTAGCAAAAATAATATTGGGATATTAGATTTTCCTCATATCGCCCAGCCCTATCTGCAGGTCGCCCGTTATCCACCCAGCGCTCGTCACACTGGCTGGTGAGGCCATTTCTGAAGCCTACAGAGCATCAGATTTAGAGCCTCCTGTCAACCTCAGGTCACACTCGAACAGGGGTATTGCATCTAGGGCTGAGTACCGAACCGAGGTTCTTTTATGGCACCGACCGAACTGCACCGGTCGGTGTATGTATTGAAACGTCACTCTTCTTTCGGTGTCAAGTTTCGGTATTGGCTGTAACGTGTCACGTGGTTTCAGCATGCAGGCAGGCAAAACACCAGACATATGACAAACAGACTACACCCAGATTACACCCAGAGCTGTATAGAGCTGCCGTACCTAATCTATGTATAATTATGTCTATGGTGCTGGTGACGCCCACAGACGAGTTCACATGTGCAGCGCGTGTTGTTGAACGGCTTCGACAACACGCGCTGCAGAAAGTTGCTCCATGTTTTTCTGCGAGGAGAGAAGAGTTCATTAGCCTCCCCCCTCCTCCTCCTCTCTCCTCCTCCTCCTCCTCTCAGCATTAAAGTCAGCCTGTGAGTAGAGCCTGAACGTCCTGATTCATTATCTCCATGACCGGACTCTTCATCAAAGAACTCCGAGGACGTCTCTGAGTTTCAGCTGGTGAGTTTACGTTTGTTAGCGTAACTGCAGCTTAACACGTACATCGCGGTGAAATAAACTATGATCCATGTAACGCTAACTTTAACATATTAGTGTGTAAATTTATTTTATCTACGTAGCTAGCTAAACTCAGAAGCTAACTAAAGATTGACAGTAACATAAATCTTAGCTTGTAAAAATGTGCTCATCCATTGGATCAGCTGCTTAAACAGTTCACTAATGTTCACTGTTTATGTTCATGTTCTCCTCACAGGAGGTTCTGACCCAGATGTGAGGACAAAAGAAAAGCGAGGTGGGGGCCACAGGACAGTCAGACTTTGATGTTAAAAATTTGCTGCTTTTTCTACAGTGGAGCTGCATGTTGGAGGTAAATTAAACTTTAAAGGATTTTGTTGACCAATTAAACTTTTATCTCTCAGCCTAGATAATGTTTTTTGAGTAATAATAACACAACCATGTTATTGTTGATGTTTTGTGTTCTCATGTCAATTAGGGAGATGATCAGAGCCCTAAACCCCAGAGAACCACAGAGAAGATTCAGACAGAGGTGCAGAAGTCTGCATCAACCCTACCTCATTGAATCCAGTGACCTGCTGGTGGGATGTGAGGGACAATTTGTCAAACTGACAACCAGGTATCAGAGTGTGCAACAATCATCATCTACAGCCTCGGAGTGAACATGTTCTACTGCTGGAGACACCATCAGCCAGGAGCATCTTGTTTGTGTCCACAGAAAACAGACATGTTGATGTTTCTGAAGAAAAACCGTTAAGTGAAAAGGTCCTCAGTGTGAAGCAGTGAACATTAGACACTGACGTGTCACTGGTTTGTAATTGGTCTTTGAACTGGAAATTATTTGTTTGTTTTTATGTAAGAAAACTGCTTGGAATAGAAAAATACCAAAGTTAAAAAATAAAACTCACAATTTGTACTGTAATGTGTAACGTAATTTTATTCTTGTTAGAATTAATAGTAATTACAAAATTGGTACTGAAAAAAGAACCGTCCAGGAACTGACACCGAAGTGAAGGTACCGACACCGGTACCGATTTTTTTAGAAAGGTACCCAGCCCTAATTGCATCTTCGACTGCTTTGCATAATGGTATGACAATGCAGGATATTTACACTGCAACCGCGTGGTCAACACCCTGCTCATTTATTCACTTTTATCTACGTGATGTGACGGCTCGTTCCATGACACATTCTGTCTTTAGTGTTTTACAGAATGAATATTGTTGGTTCATGGAACTCCGTTTAACTCACATCTGTCTGCATGCATTACAGTGTGAGATGTGGTTATCAGTCACAAGTTGTGATTGTTATTTTGGTTCTCTTGTCATTAATCATTTCATGACTATTGTTACCAATCAGTTCATTTGATTAATAATCAGCTCTCCTGTTATTATTAATTTGTTCATACTGTTCAGCCGTAAACCGGTTGGTTCATGGCTCCTTTTCAGCACTTTTCCCTCCCCGTTGAAACTTTTCCAGGGCGTTCATGCATTCAAAACGCATAGTTACACAGCATGTGTCTGTGCATGGCACACATAATTACGCAATGCGTAATTATGTACATGGGGAGCTGAGTGACAAGACATTTTTTGGGCAAGCTTCTGCTTCATACGGTGTTCGAATGGACCCAGTGAGGCGAGGACCACATCTGCTTCGCCCTTAACCCATCAGCGACAGCCTTAAAGGGCGAAGCCTATACGAAATAGAACGTTGGTTACGTACTGTAACCCCAGATTCTATGAGCATAGGCGTAGCCCTTTAAGCGTCGGGCCTCACTGGCTTCTAAATGGCTGAAGAAAAAGCTATTTGGGAGCCGATTACCTGCTCTTAACGTAATTTGTACGGACCGGGTGGGGCCCACACAGCAGGTGGGCGTGGACTAAATTTTTCAGTGTGATGCTCTGCATATCGGGATAAAATCCATCAGCGACAGCCTTAAAGGGCTACGCCTATACTCATAGAATCTGGGGTTACAGTACGTAACTAACGATTTCCCTGTAATCCACTCCACCTGTCACCAAAATGTGACCTGCTTTGTGCATCTTCTTTTTTATTTTCTACTAGGAAGGTGGTGAGTCCAAAGTTAGGATGATTCAGAAATACAGAGGTCATAATGACGGGATTAGCTTAACTGACATTAGGCTGGAAGTTTTAATGGTATTATAGTTTAACATTTTTTCAGTCAGGTCATCTGGACAGTTTCTTTTTTTGTGCTGAAACGTTTCACCTTTGATCCGGAAGGCTTCATCAATCAAGGAAACACACAACAAAGCTGATTCTTCCCCCAAAAGCTTACTCCAAATTGGAACAAACCAGTTTTGTTTGTGATAAGAGCACAAAAAAACCTGACCTGACTGAAAAAAGTTGGATTGTATATCTGGATTATTGAGCATGGACTTTGTTGTTTTCAACCACTTTGATGCGACTGTCAACAAGGAAGAGGGCCGGCAATGGAGGAGGGGGCGTGACAAAGAGACCATCTTAGCACACAATTTGTACAATTTTCAAATCATGTTTTTTTTAATGATTGTCTACTGTTGTACTGATAAATATTTCCTTGAGGGGAAACTATATCTTGGCTGCAAGTATCAAGCTGAGAAATCCTTCATTTTCTACAACTGATAGCGGTTGGTCATTAACTATGATGAAGTTTAGCAACTTCTCTGTAAACATTCGAGCTCCAGGACTTCAGTGATGTCTTCTTCTTGTTCAATCTGAAGCAAGCAGTCTGATTTCGGTCAGCCGCTCAACATGCATCATGGATCGGAAATCTCTGCAGTTTGGATCAGAAGAATCTGATACGTAAATTATGCTGGTATCGGAGTCCGATACCGATACTGGATCAGCCCATCCCTAATTATTACCCACTGTATGTCATTAAGCCTCTGACTCCAGCAATGAAAAATAAATCCAGTTAGGGAAGGCTCCTTGAAAAGAGTAGTTTTCATGAAAAGGTTTAAAATTTTCAGAACAACTTTTGAGAAACGTTAACCATAAAAAGGAGCTTACAGGGTTGTGCAGCAGCAGCTCCTTTAAGGCCTTGACATCTTCACTGAAGGTCGCCGACATGAGAAACGACTGATAGATCTTTGGCAAATAGCTGTCAAACACAAATTTGCACACAAATGTAAACAAAAAACGCCTTTTGATTTAACATTAAACTCACTAAAATAATCAGATAAAGCATCTGTGAACTACCATCGGTGATGAGACAAAGAGAGGAGCTACATTTAATTTCAATTCAATTCAGTTTATTTATATTGCGCCAAATCACAACAAAGTTGTCTCAGGGCACTTTACAGGAACATTCACATAAAAGCCAATTAGTAAAGTTCTCTATCTAAGGAATCCAGCAGACAAGTTGAATCTTGGCTTCGTTGCAGTCTCTCATCCTGAGCAAGCACAGTGGCAACAGTGGAAAGGAAAAAACTCCCTTTTAAAAGGAAGAAACCTTTCAGCAGAACCAACTATGGTGACTCAAAGATTATTTTTTATATTCAACATTTATTTATACAGGAAGTCTCATTAAGTCACAAGGGGTCATTTTCAAGAGAGACCTGTTTGAGAGCAGAAGGTGGGGGTTAAGGGCCTTGCTCAAGGGCTCAGAGTGGGGCAAATGAGGCTGGAGGCAGGTGTGGGTGTTTCACCATTTCCAACCATATTTTTTTTATGTTGTCCGTCTGGGGAGTCGAACAGACTACGTTTTGATCACAGGCCCACCTTCTCTAGCCTCTGCGCCACCACTCCCCTTTAAAGCACATCAATGTACTTTAAAAGCACATTGTTTGTTCTAAATATGTTAACTCACGTGCTTTTACACAGCACCAACCATGTACATACATTAAATGTAATGAAATAAAAACTTATATTTAGTTCTTTTGTAATTTGTGCATTTCTGTCTATTTGGTCCCACTCTTTAAACCTTTTGGTTGTTTCATAAAATGGAAAAATAAATAAAATCTGATCCCTTTCTTAATAACGCAGAGTTCATAACAGGATGCAGCAAGTGAAGAAAAAAAAAGCTAGTCACAAATTGTGTGTGCATGTTTGTTTTCACCACAACAAGTTCTTCAGGTCAGCCTCAAAACCAAAAGAGAAGACCAGGTCAGCCTCGTCTACGACGAGCATCTCAAGGGACGAGTCCAGGACCAAGTTTTGGACCTTGAGGTGGGCGAGCACACGAGACGGCGTCCCCACCACAACATCGGGCTTCTCCATTAAGATAGGCCTGTTCAGAGACAATATCACAGATATACTTTTATAGCTTCTAACGCATGAACAAACTGCACAGGTTACATTTCTTTAATGCTTTAAATTTGTTCTGGCAACGTGAAAATGTTTTTTGGGTTTAATGCTTGGCAATGTCAACAAGAGAAATTCTACCTCTTTCTTTTAAAATGAATGTAGGTAAACTGTTTTGTAGGTTTATGCAATCCACCATATTTCAATCATAATGTTATTTTTAAAAAAATTAAGTGCACAAGTTGAAATAAAATTCATCCTACAATAAAAAAAATGGATTTACAGAGACTCATAAATCATGAAAATAATCGAACTGTTAAAAGGACTATCATGGGAAGAGTACAAAACTGTCCCCAGCATTAGATAACCACTGGACCACAGTGAAGACCATCAACAAACAGCAGAGACTTTACTGAGAACTGGATGTTCCTTCAAATTAGACAAAAGGATGAGACAGAAACTAACATAATTTTTGTTGTACAAGTTGCACCCTTTTGCACAAATTAGCACGCCCTGCGACTTATACAGCGAAGCAACTAATATACGTTTTTTCCCCATATTTATAACCCAATTTTTGGCTGAGATCTGACGATTTCCCATGGGTAGACCACCTGTAGGGGGGGGGGGGGGGGTTTAAAGGGGTCAGGTGCAATGTGGGATGGGTGGTGGCTGAGGGCGGGGACCCTAGCGGTCTGATCCTCGGCTACAGAAGCTGGCTATTGGGATGTGGAATGTCACCTCTCTGGAGGGGAAGGAGCATGAGCTGGTGTGTGAAATTAAGAGGTTCCGGCTAGAAATGGTCGGACTCACCTCAACGCATGGCTCTGGAACCAGTTTCATTGAGGGGGTTAGACACTCTTCCAGTCTGGAGTTACCCCTGGTGAGAGGCGCCGAGCAGGAGTGGGCATACTTGTTGCCCCCCCATCTTGGTGCCTGTATGTTGGGGTTCAGCCCGGTGAACGAGAGAGTAGCCTCGCTCTGCCTACTTGTGGGGGGATGGGTTCTGACTGTTGTTTGTGCTTATGCACCAAACAGCAGCTCAGATTACCCACCCTTTTTGGAGTCCTTGGAGGGGGTACTGGAGAGTGTGCCTCCTGGGGACTCCCTTGTTCTACTGGGGGACTTCAACGCTCATGTAGGCAATGACAGTGAGACCGGGAGGGGTGTGGTTGGGAGGAACGGCCCCCCTGATCTGAACCTGAGTGGTGTTCTGTTATTGGACTTCTGTGCTCATCATGGATTGTTCATAAACACCATGTTCAAGCATAAGGGTGTCCATATGTGCTCTTGGCACCAGGACACCCTAAGCTGCAGTTTGATGATAGACTTTGTTGTCGTCTCATCTGATCTGCGGCCACATGTCTTGGACACTCGGGTGAAGAGAGGGGCAGAGCTGTTCACTGACCACTACCTGGTGGTGAGTTGGCTTCGATGGTGGGGGAGGATGCCGGTCAGACCTGGCAGACCCAAACGTATTGTGAGGGTCTGCTGGGAACGTCTGGCAGAGTCTCCCATGAGACAGAGCTTTAACTCCCACCTCCGGAAGAGCTTCGAACACGTTCCGGGGGAGGCGGGGGACATTGAGTCCGAGTGGACCATGTTCCGTGCCTCCATTGTCTAGGCGGCTTATCGGAGCTGTGGCCGCAAGGTTGTCGGTGCCTGTCGCGGTGGTAACCCTCGAACCCGGTGGTGGACACAGGCGGTGAGGGATGCTGTCAAGCTGAAGAAGGAGTCCTATAGAGCCTTTTTGGCCTGTGGGACCCCGGAAGCAGCTGATGGTTACAGGCAGTCCAAGCGGCATGCGGCTCGGGTGGTTGCTGAGGCAAAAAGTCAGGCATGGGAGGAGTTCGGAGATGCCATGGAGAATGACTTCCGTACGGCTTTGAGGCGATTCTGGTCCACCATCCGGTGTCTGGGGGGGGGGAAGCGGTACGCCACCAACACTATTTATAGTGGAGATGGTGTGCTGCTGACCTCAACTTGGGATGTCGTTAGTCGGTGGGCAGAATACTTAGAAGATCTTCTCAATCCCACTGGCACGTCTTCCACTGAGGAAGCAGAGCCTGGAAACTTTGGGTCTCTCTCTCTCTGGTGCTGAGGTCACCGATGTGGTTAGAAAGTTCCTCGGTGGCAGGGCCACGGGGGTTGATGAGATTCGCCCGGAGTTCCTTAAGGCTCTGGATGTTGTGGGGTTGTGTTGGCTTACAAGACTCTGCAATATTGCGTGGACATCGGGGGCAGTTCCCCTGGATTGGCAGACTGGGGTGGTGCTCCCCCTATTCAAAAAGGGGGACTGTAGAGTGTGTTCCAACTACAGGGGGATCACGCTCTTAAGCCTCCCTGGTAAGGTCTATTCGGGGGTTCTGGAGAGGAGGGTCCGTCAGATAGTCAAACCTCGGATTCAGGAGGAGCAGTGCGGTTTTCGTTTTGGTCGTGGAACACTGGACCAGCTCTACACCCTCAGCTGGGTCCTGGAGGGTGTGTGGGAGTTTGCCCAACCAGTCTACATGCGCTTTGGAGAAGGCGTTCGACCGCGCGGAGAGCCCTGTGGGGGGTACTCCAGGAGTATGAGGTACCAGGCCCTTTTATGGGCTGTTAGGTCTAGGCTTCTTCCCAGTGAAAGTTGGACTCCACCAAGGTTGCCCTTTGTCACAATTCTATTCATAACTTTTGTGAACAGAATTTCTAGGCACACCTAAGGTGTTGAGGGGATCCGTTTTGGTGGCCTTAGGATAGCTTATCTGTTTTTTGCAGATGATGTGGTCCTATTGGCTTCATCAGGTCGTGACCTACAGCTTTCAATGGAGCGGTTTGCAGCAGAGTGTGACACGGCCGAGATGAGAATCAGTTCCTCCAAATCCGAGGCCATGGTCTTGAGCCGGAAAAGGGTAGAGTTCCCACTCCGGGTCAGGGAGGAGGTCCTGCCCCAAGTGGAGGAGTTTGAGTATTTTGGGGTCTTGTTCACGAATGAGGGAAAAATGGAGCATGAGATCGATAGGCAGATAGGTGCAGCGTCCATAGTGAAGCGGGCGTTGTACCGGTCTGTCATGGTGAAGAGAGAGCTGAGTCAAAAGGCGAAGCTCTCAATTTACCAGTCGATCTACGTTCCTACCCTCATCTATGGTCATGAGCTTTGGGTTGTGACCGAAAGAATGAGATCACGGATGCAGGCGGCCGAAATGAGTTTTCTCCGCAGGGTGTCTGGGCTCTCCCTTAGAGATAGGGTGAGAAGCTCAGTCATCCGGGAGGAACTCAGAGTTAGGGGTGGACGATATGGCTCAAATATAATATCATGATATTTCAGAGCATGCTGGCGAAAACGATAAATTTCGTGATATAATTTAAAAAAAAAACAAAAAACAGAAATAGTTATATTATGTTATATTATTATGTTATTTAGTTACAAAATTAACTTAACATGTTGCTTTTCAGTATTATATAAAATAAAAAGGGATAATTTTATTTTATTTTATTTATTTATTTATTCATTTCATTTCATTTCCAATAAAAACACAAATACAATTTCAAAAAATTAAAGAAAAACAAATATAAAATGAAAGGAAGCAGAAGAAAATTTCTTATCATATCTGCTCCCTCATAAACAAAATCAATTCAAACCATCAATTTAAACATAAACCTTCATAAATAATACATCAAAATACATAACTCATCAAAATTTCATACTTAACAAAATAGATATTAATCAGTTATATATATTGTTCCAACAAAACAGTTTTTATCTTTTTCTTAAATATAAACATTGACTTCACCATTTTAGCATCATCTTCCAAACCATTCCACAGACTCATTCCCTGTATTGTAGTAGACCGACCCTTTAAACTGGTTCTATACTTGGGTTTAACAAAAATATCTATGCCCTTCAAATTATAACAACTCTTCCTTTTTACAAAATATGTTTGAATGTTTGATGGTAGCATGCAATTCTGAGCTTTAAACATGAATAAAAGAATATTATAATCCACCAAATCATAAAACTTAAGTATTTTCAATTGACAAAACAGAACATTAGAAGGGTGACAGTAACACTTTTTTGTTATAATTTTTACAGCTCTTTTTTGCAGAATAAAAATAGGCTTTGTTATGGTTTTACATGCTGTACCCCAAACAGTGACACAGTAAATTAAATGCGGGACTACAAGTGTATTATATAGCAAATATAAAGCATCATTGTTTAATAAGTCCCTTACTCTGTATAATACTGCATTTGACTTAGATATTTTAATTTTTACAAGATTTATATGCTGTTTCCATGACAGTTTATCGTCAATAATTACACCCAGAAACTTTACTTCATTCACTCTACATATCTCAGTACCATCAATTTTGAGAGAAAAATCCAAAGTTATCTTTTTTTTTTACTAAATATCATAAAATTAGTTTTATCAACATTTAATGATAACTTATTTAATTTAAACCAATCTTGTATTTTAACAATCTCTTTGTTTATCAATTCAAACATCTGTTCCATATTTTTACCCAAACAGAAAAACGTTGTATCGTCAGCAAATAAAACACATTTGAGGATGTCAGATACTTCAATTAAATCATTTACATATAAAATAAACAATTTAGGTCCAAGTACTGAACCTTGTGGTACTCCACATAAAGTTCTGCATAAATTAGATCTTACATCATCCATCTGAACAAACTGCTTTCTATCCCTCAAATAACTGCTTATCCACTGTAAAGCAAGACCTCTAACACCATACTGATTTAATTTATCAAGCAGAATGGTGTGATCAATAGTGTCAAATGCCTTTTTTAAATCCACGAATATACTTATACAATGTTGTTTTTTATCAATCGCTGTAATAATTTGTTCAATCAACTCCATAAGAGCTAAGGATGTTGAACAATTTGATCTAAAACCATATTGACTATTACTTAAAATATTATTTTTTTCAAGAAATGTATCTAATCTGGTCATAAACAATTTTTCGAGAATTTTAGAGAATTGTGGCAATA